GGTGGGGGGAATGCCCAGTGAGCAGCACACATGGAAAGTGGTTTAGGACGAGACATGAGATTTTGATCCCATGAAACCATTTCTTCAAAATCCTACCTCCTTTTCTATTAGCATGCTGGATCATTTCAAACATTTATAACAAACTGTTTCCATCAAATACAAGAAACTATATTTTTATCAAATATAAGATACATCATTATTTTATGTACCAAAAATAATAAAGAAAAAAAGCTCAAGATGGAAAATCCAATAGGAGACACCACCCCCACCCCCCCAATCTGGAATACCCTCACTGAAAGGGTAAGTGACAAGGCCACCATGAGAAAGGAAAAGCAAGGGAACATGTGAGTCCCAGCCTTGACACTAGGTGGCAGGATGAAAAATCCTCCCCTGAGAATATAGGAGCTCCAGGTGGAGGTCCTCCTGCTTTCTAAATTTGCAGTCAGTGTGATCCAAAAGAACCTCAAGCAGAGACTCTAATGTCAGACAGCCTGAGGATGGGTGGCCCCCGATGGCTGGCAGGAACAGCATGAACACCTGCCTTCACTTCAGACAAACAGTTATGATATGATGCCATTGATTGAGAGAAAAGTCCTGATTTCAGAGATCAAAAATGTGCATTTTGGAATCAGTGGAAGATGGCAAATCTGTTCCTATGTCCTGCCTGGGAGAATTGGGACAAATGACCCATCTACGATCTCTCCAAGAACGTACCTGCCCTGACACAGGATGTGATATGTACTCATTTGGCATAAGACACTATAAATATTAAAGGTCCTTTGGCCATGTCAACAGACCTTGACCTCACACAGCCAGGTTTCCTAAGGAAAGGAGGCCCTTGATTGAGCAACTCAGGGGAAACTTTCTTGTGAATGTTGAAATAAAATGCAATAAAGGAGTAAGATGTTGATAATTGGAATTAGGGAAACTGGGAAGAGGGAGGGAGAAGTGGCTACTTTAGAATCATGGCAGCAGCCACACACTGGGAGGTCCTCAGAGGTGAACCTCCAGATACCCTTGTTTTACAGCATTTTTTAGGACAGGACTTGTCTAAAGTCACCCAGCTAGTCAGAACCATAAGAGGTTTTCCTCACAGGAGTGGAATTGTCCTCTTTATGTTCAAGTCCATTCATTAGTAATGATTTGTCATTTAGATGTTTTATGAACAGATCCTTTTCTGTACTAAGAACTTCCAAAGACAAATCAAAGTGAACTGAGAAATGCCCCCAAGTCTTTCAGGGAAATCAGAGAAGACTGTGACTTTCCTCTGTTACCTGGTCAGTCCAACGTACATCACCCTCTGGCATCAGAACCTGGCAGTGAGAGGAACCCAAGGAGGCCCAGCCAAGGACGGTCTGCTGAACTTCTCCCTACACTCCCACATCTGGAACTTTTTTCTTCTTTTATTTTTAAAATATGTTTTTATTGATTTTTAGAGAAAGAGAGAAAGGGAGAGGGGGAGAGAGAGAGAGAGAGAAACATACATCAATGTGAGAGAGAAATATCTATTGGCTGCCTCCCATACACAACCCAACCAGAGATCGAACCCACAACTTGGGCTTGTGCCCTGACTGGGAATCAAACTGGTGATCTTTTGGTACATAGGCCGATGCTCAACCAACAGAGCCACACCGACCAGGGCCTCACAGCCGGAATTTTAACAGCAGGGTCAAGGGCAGGGAGGGCTGATGGCCCTAGTATCTGAGTATCCCTGGCACTGGTACTTAGAGGGAGGGAGGCCTGGGGCACTGCTCTGTGGGCGGGCCCATCTGCCGTGAGATTTTCATTCACCAGGCTGTTAATGAAAGGCCCACTTCTGTGCTCTGTGCAAATGCCATCCTGGACTGCTGGGGCGGGGAGGGTGAGTGTGTGACGTCTTCCTGAATGCTGGTTCCTGGAGAGGCTGGATCACCTCCTGGGAAGGCGGCAGCCTGTCCCTGCTCTAAAGCAGACGCACATGGCACGTGATTACTCTGCTCTCACTGGGAAGGGTGGTTACCAGTGATTCCTCAATGTGGGCGGCCGGCAGTGAAGGGATGGGCAGAATAGTAATTACAGGAGGAGCCAGAGTCTCCTCCATGCACCCCCTCCTCTCCCCTCCC